TGAATTTACCGCTTACACTGAAAGTGCAGTTGAGCGTCAGGTTGTGTTGACGTGGAATAATTGTTTATTGGTCAAATGAGGTCTGCCAAAAGTACTTTAAGCAGCTCATCCAATCCAAGGTCGATATTCAGGACAGTATCCTTCAGGATGACAACAGTAGACCATGTATTACTCAAAAGACACTGCAAGAAATCCACCCTCGTCCCGCTCTCTAGTTCTCAGGCCTTGACCCCTTACATTTCTATCTGCTTCGTTCTATGCAATTTAATTTTAATGTAGAACCAAACGGTTTCATGGAAGAAATCAACACGACCTCAGGACATTTTTGAAGATTTGGCACGTGGTTTCCACAATGAAGGAACCACAAACGTGTAAACCACATAAAAGCAGTAATATGAGATGCTGGAGTGTACGTAATCGATAACTAAAATTCTATTTCTATGGTAGTGTCACATTGGATTCGGTCTTAAATCAGGCACAAACTCCAAAAGTTACCTAGATGGTGGAAGTTCGAAAACTTCCTCCATCCCCCTAGAACACGGCCTGGTTGAGAGTTAAACGTCAGCATTACTTTATTATGGCATAAATTCGAGATGAAATTCACGATAAGTGCGCCCCTAAGATCCAGTGAAGGCACTGAAATTCGACAGGTTCTTTTGCCAGGACTTGCAGCCTTTTTAAAACTTCGAGATGTCCTTAATTATCGAGTTTTGGCAGGAAGAACATCCGCTTTACCTAAACTTCTTGCATGGGCTAAATTGACTGACACTACGTCGAAACAGTTATGAAATAGTTGCCATTTGTAGTTAATTGTGCCACCCACGTCGGGTGCGAAAAGTACCCACTCGCAGGGCCAGATTTCGTGCTCTCAAGTATTTCCCAGCCTTTCTCTTCAACCTGTGTCCAATTCATGGGATTACCTTGCATGACTTGTATGCCTAATGCCAAGTGTAACAGTTTACGATCCCAAAACATCCTCGGACGAAATGACGCAAATTTCAGGACATATTCCACGCCACCGTCCTGACGTGGCGAATGCTCAAGCAGGCACAGAAGACGAAAAATGGAGTTGGCTTACGTTGCTCCGAGAAGTTATTCCCAGATATGTCGAATACCCTGTGAACGTGTGAATGCCAAACGGGGCGATTTGAGGTGAATTAGCCCAACTTCTTCTGGGGACTCGGCATGTTTACACTCTGAATTTATGCAGGGGTAGTGATGTACCGGCATAACTAATCAATTATCCATGTTTTCACATTATACACCCTCCCTGGAGGAAAGCGGGTTACGCGCCACTTGAGCTAAATTTAGTATTCTACTGGAATTGCTTCATTTGGTTTCCGATATTTGGTTCTTTGGCAATTACCTCTTTAATCCTATTACTGCCTTCCAACAATTTTTCTTTTCGGAAATAGAGAAAAGCCTAGGTAAATTCCTCCCATCTACTTCATTTTCAAAACCACATTGGTTGCAATCTCTCCTGTGATGCTGGCCACCCATTTGCCAAAGGATACCCCAGCTGTCAGTTAATGCGTCTTTTTAATTGCGAGACGGTTCATTACAGCTGTTCACGAAAAGATAGTTGAAAATTGTCTTACCTCGGTTTGGCAGTTAAGCCTACCGCCCACACGTTGACTCGGCTGCCCTAGGGAGATAATCAGAAGGTTGAGACGCAACTTGAATTTGTTGGGGTGTGTCTCAGACGTACCAGCGGGTGCGCGATCCGACGTGTCTGGGATGGACGCTGAGCTAGCGTGATTTACCACATTCTGCCGTACTCACTTATCCACCAATCGAAATGACGTATGACTGAGTTTGAGAGCCTTACGTAAAATCATCGAATGCCATCGGTGGAATCTTCACTAAAACGTCAACAAAAGTAGTCGGGGACATGAAAGAGGAAGACTCACATCAAGCAAGAATCCATTTTTCGCAAATTTTCTAAACGCGTTCTATCATCTCCCGGTTTTTACATATCAGCAGCCACCATTCCTCACCACTCACTATTAATCACATGGAGGTGTTTGATTTTCTCCTGACAAAGAAAAAGCCACGTTTTTGTCTTCGACTTCTGCACAGGTGGACAGGTCGCAGGATTGAGTGGAGCACCACTGAAGTGCGCTCCTGCGATCACCGAGGTCTCATCAAAAAGTGCACAAAAAAAACCACGAAAGAGTGGCCATTGAGGAGGTGGAAAGAAAGGCATCGCACGGCGTGATGACTCATGCATTTTCAACAAAGATGAGGGGCAATTTTGGGAGCCGCGCAATTTTTTCCGGTTCAAAATTCCAACACGATGTCGAGTGAATGTCTCTGCCGAGTAGTAAGCTTAGCATGTGTTGGGTATGGAATTCCACAGATTCAGAAAACGGTCTTTCGAAGGTTAGTTGCAGAACCTGGAAAGTACCATGGTGGAATGCAGGATTATTATTTGCCAATCAAAAACAGTACTTGAAAAAGAACATTTAAAAGTGTACATAAAAGGGCCGCAGCCTACTGCTTTGAAGGCATCCAAGGTGTTTACCCAACATGTACCCTCATAATTCAGTTTTCATGGCGCAAATCTACACACCAACGACCTGTAAACCTCGGCTCAAATTCAGGAGTTCAAAGCGAAATTCACTGGGTGGCCACAAGGCCATGCAACCAAACCATAGATTATGACGGTTGCATAGATTCGAGTGGACGTTGCATGTTCCCGAGCTATAGTAAACACCCTCTATAGTAAATCTACGCTAGCGGTAATCTTCGACCTGTTTCCTGATTTATTAAGACGCCTATACTTTTTGTTTGTTTAACACCACCTAGACGAGTGTGGCCGTCAACCATAGCATTAACGATTTCTAACTTCGGACGATTCAAAAACAAAACACACATCAAGCCTAAAATCTGTCATTGTTAAATGTCCCATTTAACTTCAATTTGGGTTTGGAGAAATAATCAGGCTAGAAGTTGCGGCCACTAGCTCAGTGCGGAAGGCGTTCAACGAATAACAAACCAATCGGCTTCTGGCACGGATTTTGTCCACTAATTACTTATCGTGATTTGTGTAAGAAAAATTCTGTCGGACGAAAAAATGCAAATTTACTTTTAAAAAAATCGGCATCGATACACACACACCTGCGCACTCAAGATTTAGCCAACTCTGCCTGGATTACTAACCTCGGCTTTTTTCACTTCAAATTGCAAATGAGGCGACACGTTAGGACGGTTTGTGTGTTCTTCACGCGGCCACAGTGTTGCGATGTCTGGTTTTGAAAAACCAGGCCTTTTGTGCCTTCGTGGTGGCTTACATCGTATTACTCTTGGAAGACTTGAGAATTCTGTACTTAATTTTCCCATTAATCTCAGCAAGAAGGCATTCCACATTTGTTTTCCAATAAGTGAATTTTAAATATTTCCAATAACTTTAATGACGCGGTGTTTGACTTTCTAAAATTTAAAAAAAGAGAATTACAATGGAGTCAATTTGTGTTGTGTGAGGTGAAAAAAGGCGAGAGTGTTGAAACTGTAACAAATTATTCAACCCTGCGCTGCTTATACATCAAATTTGGTTTGGTTTATTTCAAAGTGGTGATTTAACCAATGACGATGGGCACGGCTCTGAGCGACCTTTCGGCGTTCACAATGACTTTATTCGCGATTCAGTGGTCATTTCTCCACTGATTGCCACCAGAGAGATTGCTGAGCGATGAAATTTTGGACAGTTTTACTCCATTTTGCCATTTAAAACAACTCAGATTTACATCGGAGCTAAACACACAGGTTCAAGGAGTTTCGAAAAGACGGATTGAACTGGGCCGTGACTGCGGAAGCAAGTGTCAAAATTTGAGCAAACAAGAAAAAGAAGCTGAAGGAATCGGTGCATCCACTGAAAGTGTGCTTGTGCGTCTGGTTGGATCGAGGTGGAATAATTGTTCTGCGATTTCTTCCATGTGGTTAAACAATAACTGCGGAAAAATACTAGGGGCACTTCGCCCTCTTCAATGTTGAAGTCTTAGCGAAGAGTCTAAAAGTGATCGATTAAGATGTCATCACTCTTCTTGATGACACCCCTAGGCCATATTTTGCTCAACAGACGCTGCAGGACCTAAGGGACCTGAAATAGGAAATCCTCCATCGTCGTCCACGGAATCCCTTGGCCTTGCCACTTCAGATTTTTGTCTGTTTAGTTCAATACAGAATAATTTGAATGATATATCAAGTGGTCTCGTGGAAGAAGTCGCAAAATAACGTCAATTTCTGAAGAGAAACCATGCCGAGTTCCCAAAAGAAGGAATTCACGAACATACTCAGCGTTTTGAGATAGTCGTGGGCAATGTTAGGTGCGTAATTTTCAAATGCAAACAAAGAAAGTAATGTGATGAAGTCGATGTGTCTTAAATCATCGAAAATGTGGTGCCACGAACACCTTCTACATCCCACGAGAACACGACTTAGGAGGGTGTCGAAGGTTTAATCATTGCCCAACACGTTTATTGGTGTTGATTTCATCCTATAAATCTTTTAAAGATAATTTACCACGACTTATATTGGGCACATTTGACTTCCGTAAAACAGGTTAGATTTGACACCCCTGAGTGCCCAGTTTGGCAGTTGCTTTATCTTTGATTAGTAAACTTAGCTGACAAAAATGACGTTTTTTCACTGTTTCACATCTGGCAGGTCACGGTATCCAGGCCGTGCATTTTTTTAAATTAGTGCTAGTTCGGAATTTTAAACTATATATCCATATTTTTTTAAAAAAGCAGCTATTTGCCACGAACAAGAATGGAGACACAACTCCACATTTTGAAATGTTTGCACTGGTGGTTTTAAAATATCCATAAGAGAAAAAGCACTTAGTTACGCCTTTTGGAAGAAAAAAACAAATCAAAAATATATAAAGGTTTGTAGCGGAATGTGTATTATAGGCATTGTCTTGTCTTCACAAAAAATCCAGAAGCTAAGGGTGAAGCAGACGGTTTTGAAATGACACGTCAGGAGGATTTGACCGTCACATGGTCTCTGTTTACTTGGTTCCAGCCCTGTGTTTGGGTAAATTTGACTTCCGTAGCAGAGCCGTTGTCTTCAGCTATACAGAAGCTGGTCCACCAATGAGCTTGCGCTTTTTATTGATAATCAGTTCTCGACCAATTACAGCTTATCCTCTTACATCTTTTAACCGACCATCTGGGCGACATCATGAATCACTACCACGCACTTAATGAAGTAAAGTAAATGATTAGTCCAAAATTCCTAATTTGTTCCTCGTTACTGGGAGTTGCCAACTGTCAATTTGTGCCACTTGGTTCTCGTTTCTCCGCTCACATTGTTCCTTTTAACTAATTCTGAACCCGATTTTATCTACCGCAAAAGCACAGTTAATAGTACTAATATGCTCATTCGTCACTTATTTGGAATGATTAAAAACTGAAATCTGATTCGTTAGTTGGAAGCAATTTTGTCCGATAATAAGCAGAGATTTGAGCTAAGTCAGCATTCTTCTCTGCGTGCTATCGATTTTTCCTGAATGCTGCTTACGCAAGCCAATCGGAAGGCAATGATAACCAGGAGCTCGTTTTAGGCACGCATTCAGAGACGTCATTCTTCAAGGTCTTCGAGACCCTCCTGTGTTCGTCATATCGACCAGAGCGGGGAGCCGTTAAGTGCCCCGCTGGCACGCAAATCCACCTCCTCTCAGCATTCCTTGGACCTCAAGCGGCCCTCGTCAAAGCCGAGGGTCCGATCCCTGAAGGCGTCGTGCCCTGTCAGCCCCCAGTTCCAAGCCCACCGAAGACCTCTTCCCCGCCCCACTGCCTGAAAGCCAAGGACGTCACTCAGGTGAGGCGTCATGAAATCTTCTTACACCATCACCACTTCAAGGTAATGTCAATTTTGACTATCTTAGTAAACAGGAAATGATAACTTCGTTGGTTGTGAAATAGCTTACAGCGTATTGGTACAGCAAGGTCTAAATCTCATGTAACAAGACCAGCCTCAGTAAATTAAGAAAAGAACGCCAAAGAAATAGCCAGTGTGTAGGTGCTGCATCCATTTAAAGGCCAAGGTCACAAGGAAAAATCTATCGCTGCAAAGAGAAAAACGTTGTGAGGCTAGAAAACGCAGACAGAATCGAATTGTAGAAACTGGAATGTCAAAGTGCCCTTTTCACTGGATTCGCCATTGCGTCTTCACACACATATCAGAAACACATTCGACTTGTCATAAGAGGTTCAACTAACCCCACACCACTTTGTCACAAGAAACTTCAACACCCCGCTTCCATGCACACGCTCCGTTTGCACTGACAAATTGGAAATGTACAGTTTCCAGTTGACATCGGTACACACCAAACACAAACTCGCACACGCGCTCCCGTAATGTCCGAATTTGGGTCACTAATTGGGGGCCCGTGCTTATTTTGCTCAGTTATTGTAACGCTTGACTAAATGTACCAATTTTCGGGAATTTGACCCTCAACCCAGATTCAACCTCCAGATTATGACCCACTCTACACGACTGTCGCAAGCTTCGACGAACTTCGGAAACTGAGTGAGTCCAAAATGAACTCAAGCCAGTGGTTGTACGAATAATGCCCCCTCTAATTTTAAAAACCCCTCAAACATTCGGTTAGTTTAACTGTGACTAACAAGACAAAAATGTTCGCCTCCCTCTGAATCTGAGCCAATCAGATTGGGCAAACATACCTTTTTCCTCATTGGCTATTTCACAGAAGACTCGATTGGATGGCGTCAGTTAATCATTGGGAATTTGTTCCTGTGCCAGAATGCTTCTTTAGCACTTTTCCCACACAGGTACTTTAGTGTCCATAAAATTGAAAAAGTGACGAGGTTAACAGCAGCGATTTTGAGACGGTGACCTGTATCTTGGCCATAAAATTGTACCAACACCTTGACCCTCCAAATGCCCTGGCACTCTTCTGAACTTTTTCGCTTACTTCTGCAAATTCAAGTGTGATCGGGTGGGAACGTGGGTACTAGCTAGCGATAGTCACGTGGCCTGGTGAATTTTAAATCAACCTACATTTCTTGGCAATGGATATCGAAACACAAGTCAGGTGGAATCGTGAAGTTGACCGCGGAAACTTTGAAATACGTCTGTTGTCGACCTTTGCGAAAGATATTAGCAAATTCCACATTGTTTGTTTACGTTGGATTTTCAAGGGTTGCCCATCAAAAGAAACGTGAATAAATCATTGTAAACCACCATGCACACCTCAGTCACTTTGATACGTGATTGTAAATATTTAAGCCTCGTAATTGTTCTGGACATTCGTTTACAATATGTGTCTTAATTATCAGCGTAGTAACAAGGTGTGAAGTCGGGCCCGTAAAACTTGCACCGTCGTAAATCGATGTTGAGTGACTGAAGTCCGCTTGTCTTAACCTCTGCTGCAAAATTGTGCTTCTGATTGGGTGAACAGCCCTGCAATCATTTCCTTAAGTGATAATTAATTGAGTTTCGATCTCGGGTTATAGATGAAGATGTCTAGCCTTCTCTAATTCAGTGGCCAAATTCCATTTCATTTCTTATCGACTTGGGAATCTATTAAACTCCAGTGACGAGTTTGGTTGGAAGATGTTAAGCGTACTCTAATTTGGTTGCTTAATTGCATCATCGAAGGACTAACGAGTCCAACAAGCACATTTAAGTTGCGAATTGATTGAAAACCAATCTGGGGTTCTATTGGAAGTTGACAGGCGTGCTCAACGTCAGTATCCTGACTGCAACACCGATTGGCTGAAAAGCCCACCAATCACATTTGAATTGGCAACTGATTAAATTGTAAAACAGTGAAAAGAAACTTCTGGCTTTTTTGAATGATATAAATTGTGTCCTTATTAACTTTTATTGCAGCCTTTGAAACAACTGTGCGAGGGTAAATCAAACTGCAACATTTCACCTGGCCAATTCGCTTCAAATGAGACGGTGTGTCGCGGAATAGCAAGCGAAATTTTTGTCTCCTATCGCTGCGAGCCCAGTAAGTGTCTCGTCTTATGAACTTTTATAGATGCCGTCTAGTGCTTCACCAATTAACACAGCTCCGCTGCGTTCAAGAGATTTCACTAGTTAAAAGTTGAAGTATCTGTTTATTTTTCGGCTTAAACTTCTTTTCGCTTAAAGTTGTGTTCAAAACACTTGATGCTTCAAAAGGCACGACTTGAAAATGTTATTGTCCATTTCCTTACGTAGAATTACTCTCTAGAGACCACTTCAAGATTGCTTCTTCAGAAAACAGCTCAACTAAACACGCAGAAAACGCAAATAGTTTAAACCGGCCAATGACGTCAAACCATTCAGTGATTGTCTCATTTCAGGTCCCCAATTGGTGCAGTTCCGGGTTATCTGTCGGGACACCTACATGGAGATAAAATGTCCCCCCTCCCATCGATCCGAGGAGGTTCTTGTCGTATTGAATGCCCAGTTGGTCAAACACGCAGAAAAGAACACCTGCCCCGAGGTTGCAGGTAAGAACATTTGAGAAACGTCCAGGGGTATATCCATTAACTAAGCGAACCACTTAGACGATATTGATTCCCGTGATGTCACAATTGCGGCACATACATGGGGCCTAGCAGATCCAATTCACAACCGCTTACCTTTCTGACGCTGAAGGTTGCAATTTATCCTCACCGGCATAGCAACGTTTCCAGAAACTAGGAATCTAGTCAACATAGAGCGATGTCGCCAAAATTTTCAAAAGTGCGCAATTGAACAGTGTTAACCTAAATCGCGGTTCAATCGTTCATTTCTATTCACCATGCTTTAGTTAACATGTAAGTCAAGTTTACAATCCCCTCGTAATTGTCATCATGATCCCTTAGAGACAAGCATATTGTATGAATAAGAAATCACCTAGGGGAACTGGCTTTGGAATCGCTGTTCTCCGGCAACACTTGCCTTTCTACCCTCCCCTGTCCTCTGAAAATTCGTTGTGGATGTTGGTTTGAGGGATATTTTCCATCTCACTTTAAGGCAGCCCATTACGCGAATTAATGTCAGCAGAATTGCTCCTAATGCTTATTCCGGCCGTACAACAGTGCCAGAAAAGCTGTCTCGTGCACCGACGGAGCAGTCATCTTCGAGGCTTGCATTTCACCGATGTGGATCGAAATCTTTTAGATAATTGGTTAGTGAGATCGATTTTGATTGGTCTCGGTTCAAGTCGAGGTGTCGTGTTGGACGCCAAGCATGGTTGGCGTCATTCTGAGGCTTGGATGACATCATTTACGTAGAGAATTACAGTTGAATACCGGAGCCGGCATTGTCTACACCACTGATATCTAGTTCCAGTGACTGAATCCCAGCCAGAATCCCTTGTTTCCGAAATAACTCCCGACTATTTTAAGTTCAACTTGGAAGATTGTCATTCTTTAATGGCCTCGCCAACTTTGCCAAATTTCAGTAACTGTTACGTTTGCCCGTAACAAACAGAAGACCACTCAAACAGCGTTATCTGATCCCTTGTTGACGCTAGAACCGACCCTCCCACGCTAATACAAGAACAAGACCAGAGCTCGTGTAGAGAGCTTTAATCACGTCAGCCACGTACGGAGTGAGTTGTCAAAAGTGTACACTAATTCAAGGCAAGGTTGACCTTGACCGAATAAAAAGCGTAATAAAACACATGTTAGTGAATTAGTGTAAATAGCGCCAGAAACCAACGACGCGCAATCTTGGGGAATCGTGGATCCCCAACAGTAACCTTTTTTCCAAAGCCGATCAACGTAAGCGATTTTATTTATTATCACGACCGAAAAAACAATTTTTTGTAATACCAGAAAAAAATTTTCACATCAATTTTGTGAGGTTTTTGATTCCATTACGCAGGTGCGATAACGGCAATAATTCGATTGATAAATGGCGAAATTTTTGTCGGAAAAAGAATGCAATAGAACTCCGAGATTAGGTGAATTAACTTGATTGTCGCTAACCTTTCTGGTTTTTTGCGCTAAATGACTGTCTACGTGTCTGGGACACAGATACAGAATGCGCGCTAGGGAGTAGTGCTGTGGGTTAAAACAAAACAACTAGGCTTTTACTTGAAGGTGTGTGGTCCTATTTCCAAGTCCCACGTTTCCGATTCGAATTTAAAACTATTGATTAATAAAATTGCACCAATCACTTTCATTGAAGCAAGGAATAATGACATAAACGGAATCATTACTTAGCAGTCAACTTGTGCTCAGTTCGGATTCCTATGAATGCCATTTCCAGCTACAAGGTCAATCTTCCAACCACGACAAATGAACGAATTGACCGATACTTTTCCGGCAGTGATACTGCGGCTGTAGTGTTCAAGTGTCAAGGTTAGAAAGCGTCCAATCAAGGACGGACAGGAGTACAAGATGAAATATTGACAAAAACAAAGCAATCGATATTTTATCGGTATTAACAGCTTGTTTACGACAGTAACGACCGTGTAGGAGAGTCCGTAGTGTACAAAAAGGCCAAGGTCAACCATGTTGTAGTAAAGATGTTTTTACCAAGTGAAAAACGTTCTGGCAACAACGTACGGGAGTACAAAAGGGGGAGTTTCTTTATTTAATGTCGTAATGATCGATTCAGTTCAGACACTGGTTTTATGTGTAAATACTGATTAAAAGTTAGCGCTCTCGCATACAGCCTCTGTGCTTTCAAATAAATCTTGGGAACAAGGTGTGTAAAACTGACCCGACTTTGAATTGACTCATTGAGAATGGTTCTGCGTGGACCGCAATCTCAGGGGGGGGGATAAGTGGGGACTTCCACGGGCATGGAGGAATATTAACCACTGACCTTGTCACCAAGATTCGATCTCTTACCGATCCAAACCGACCTTGAAGTGATTCCCAGGAGGTGGTCCTATTTAAAATCATTCGGTACACCTAACAAAGGTGGTTTATTTCAGAAATCTGGTGCTTATAATTCATCAGAATTGGCAACTCCGATTTGCAGAAAATGTCAATTTGAAAAGAGTGGGCAAAATCACTATGCATGAGTTGCAGCCCGGGCTAAAACACAGCTTTGTCTAAATTCTTAGCTCAGACACACAAAAGTGCACTTTTGAGTCGGTTTACTGTGAAAATCAGCGAACATCTGCTCCGGTATAAGTGGATTTTTGTCTAGTAACACACACACACACCAGTTTCATGCAAATAGCCCCACGCATGAGCGCAGACCTCTCTAGGCAGCGAGACAGGTGGAACGCCTTCTGCTAAAGCCAATTTACTCCCGCTCGGTTTTTCAGAGCCCGACAGTGCAGTGGGTGTGTGCGCAGTTCGCATGGACGTGACGGCCAGCGTGGTGGACCTGTGCAACCGCGAGCGCTCCTGCTCGGTCATGCCCGACGCCGCCATGCTGCCCCACGGCTACCCTGAGGTCTGCGCGCGCCGCCACCTCCAACTGAGCTACGCCTGCGGTAGGTTCTTCCCGCTCCCCACTTACGTTGCGTTCTCCTAACCGGGATATAACCAATGGAATCTTGAGTTCACGTCGAGTCACTCTGTTGAAGATGCGGTGGTAGGTACACATTCAGTTGCACCGACGGACACCTGCCGTAATGGTGTCGATGGGTCAGATTGCCAAATTAGGTGTGCCGACGTCGTGACACGGCGACACGTGCACTAATTGGGGTCACGAGGCGGTGAGTCAGAAGGGCGTGGAAACACGGGGCATTAACACGGGACTTCATGCCGCCTCCCCTTGCATGTCAACGTGGCCGTGACACCTACCTTGAGGTCCGAACGCAGAGAGCAAATCTCCTTCGTTTAAATGATTCTCGAATGAAACAGGCTGTGAGACTGAACCGAAGACCTGCTATTCGATACGTACTGAAACGGGAGAGAGAGAGTGGGAGGGAGGCGAAGGGATCATCCATCATCTCGCCTTCATAAATTATCGCTAATGACTCCAAAAAGTAAATATTCAAGCCGTGGAAAAGCGCCATTTTAATAAATGCTGCTTGTAGACAAATCGTTCACAGCCATGTGGAGCACAAGACTTGTTTCAAAATGACACTATTTTTGCGCACATCTCAACTCACCTTGGCTTGCGATCGGAAAGTTACAATTGACGGATATCACGAGTGAAGGGATTATTCTCAAGGCAGGTTGGCACTTCATTCAATTCTCGCGCCAATTATTTGAACTGGTTAATTTAAAACAGCGTGAATTTTAATAACCATGTGCTGGTTTATGCGCTTTTTCGATTCAAGTAGCCATTATCTCGAATCGATTATTGATTCGTAGCTCCAACTGTTCACTTCACTAAAACGCTCAAGGTCGACTCAAGGTCAGATAAAAATGTCCAATCGTGGTTAGAATTTGGAAAATATCATGATGACAAAGGAAGACGTTTAACTCCGTCTTATCTTAAAATATTTACAAGGTCAGTAAATCACGCACACACTTCCTCCATGCATGCTAGTGCAATGTGCTAAAGAGGGGGGAGGTGTGCTGAAAGCTGCGAGGACAGGGTTATTGGACGTGAATCAACACGATTCACTACAGGCATTTGGAGATTACAAAAACCGCCTTTGTAAAGCACAACATCATCTTTTGGTAAAATCAACTGTAATCGGTACCAGAGGCACTCTGTTTTATGCAAATTTTACATTCTGTGTGTTGCATAAATTCATTAAAAAGTGCCCGCCACACGTGCAATACATTAGATTCCAATTATACCTTGCGTTTCATTCATCTTCGGCACTCAAATGCATTCACAGAGTAACAGGCTTTCGGAGGATCCGAATTTTCACAAAAAACCAAATCTGGAGCAAATTAAGCGACTACACACAGAAAATTCGCATCCACGCACGCTCCTACAGGCTCAGTCATGTGGTTTGGTTGCCATTTTAATGCATTAACAGAGGTAGTTTTCTCTTCTTTTTCAAGAAGTTAAAATTTTGCCGCCATATTTCTTTTTCAAAACTCATATTAACAGAACTAATTTTCGTTCCGCCTGTAGTGCCTCTAAGCGTGCTTGAGGATGATCGAAAGTTGGCGGGGAAGCACGTGCCGCGTCATCCAAAGCTCAGGCATTGTAAGTACCGCACTATTTTGCCCAATCCACTTCAGCACGCTGCGTGGGCGGGAAATTGAATGATTTGCACTTATAAGCTTTTCATCTGCAGATGATTATTTTGCACGGCCCAAAATGTCAGTAAATAAAGCACCTCTGGACGTTCATTTTCATGCGTCCCAGCGAAATTTTGGAGTGGTTGCGCTTTTGCCAATCACAATTCTAGGAGCTTTTAACTAATTTAAATCAACCAATCCCGTCGCTGAATTGTTAGTTCCAAATACATGATTGGACAACTTAGGCACCGTTAATTACAAACTACTCTTAAGAAGTCACGGAGTCAGTGGATCTGCACATGTTTCGTAATCTTTAATTCGCTAATAATAATCATCTAATTAGAACCGCAGTGTCAAATACTCGCTTGATTATACCAACTGGAGTATGAAGTCTGACAGATTGCGCTTTACGTGTCCCTAGGCAAACTAAAACTTACAGCTTCAATATTTTCTCAAGCTCACCAGAAGAAGAATCGCCGAGAGCACAGTGCTCTTCTGACACCTCATGCCCCAAATTTGCCAGTTTATCAGCAAGAGCAACTGGATCCGGGAGCTTATCACAAATTGTCCAATTCTGAATTTGAAAGGTCCGCTTACTCTGGCTACGCGGGAGAATCCGTACACGTTAAGACATCTACATTAACCGGTACATAATGTTTACTTATTATAAATAAGTAAAATGATATTTTAACTTTTTATTTTTTATTCCAGATGAGAGGACGGGACAAGTGCCAATGAAACTTCTTCCTGACAACATGTCGATGTTCCCTTTGATATTAGGAGTTATAGTCGGTCTCGCAGTACTGGTTCTGCTTATCCTTCTGCTGATTGCAATTGGATTCCGGACAAGGCGCCAGAGGGCAGCCTACGCCCAGCGTAAAGCCCTTTCCGACCCGCCGAACACGGATACGACCTTTTCAGACGGCGACAAGCAGCCAAAAGGCCCGTGTGTTCAGCAGCAGCCTGTGAACGGTGCAGGTAACTACGGATACCTGAGGCCGGGTCAGCAGGGGAGAGACAGCGGTGCTGGGGGCGTGGCGTCCACGTACATGTCTCATGCGCTCTTCGCGACTGAAGCTTCGTGGCCATCCGGACTTCAGCCGCCTCCAACTGGAGGCAACTACTTCGACGAAGAGCAGCCAAACGTCATCGTTTCGCCATTAGGAAGAGATTCAGGGTCGCAGGGATACATACAACTTCCTGTGAGTATGCAGTCTGCAACATGACCGATAGTACATCCTACTATTTCCATTATAGTAGCGTGTATGGATGAGGAGCCACTTTACGAAGGCCTGGTTCATGTTCTTCATACGCTAACCTTGTTCGTTAAAATTCATATTTCGGATGTATTCTGATTGTAAACTTACATAAGAATCGCGCATAATTTATAGGGTTCATAATCGGTGGTTTTCTGACATTAATGTGCTTGGTTGGAAATTACGACGTTTGTATCAATTAGTACCACAATTCAAAATATTTCATTTTAGATTTCAAATTCCCAAAACAACGGTTTCGTTTACAGTCATCAGAGTAGTACAACGACGATGAATAGATCAGCCAATCACATCCTGCCATTTGCAGTGTCGCATTCGTGCACAACAACGGACGGTCTTGGTGGCACGCGCATGTGCTCGCCGGCAGTGAACTCAAGCCTTTCAACAGAGAGCGATCGATTTTCGGGTCGCGCGAGCAGCCATCCCTCGTCCTTCCAGCCCCTGTTTCCGACCTCTCCCAACTGCCACAGGACACAAACGTGTGCTGACAAGCAGCCAGGACAGCAGATGTGGATTGGCTATGACGGGCCCCTCACAAACGGTGACGCGAGCCACTTGCTAGTGCCACCCGGTGGTGGCAATGACAAACCCCACGCACGAACCGGCTCCTTCGAGAGCCTCATTGAACCTCCGGAGAGCTTCAAGAACCAATCACAGCCCGTGGAACCCGTGGACTCGGTGCCACCTGGAATGCCTCCGCTGACGCTGGATGCACCTTCGGCGCTGACGCAGTCCTACAGTTGGGGCTGGCAAGAACCAGGCGTCAGCTACCACTAATCACCACCACACGCATCGCGCTGCATACCTCCCCCCCCCCTCCTCAACGCTGCTTGGCTCTGTATGCCAAGGCCCCCTAACATGCATTTCGTCACAAAGAAAGTCCAGTAACTTTGATGAGTAATACATTATCACTGTGACGATGTTTTTCCTGAAGGAATCTAAAATTCTAGAGCAGCAACTGGCTGCTTCCACGTTGATAGCGGATTGTAGGTCTTCACTACCCCACAAGCTCATCATGGACTACCAGGCGACAAAGTTCCAACATGAACTCATGTTTGAGATTCTCAGTAGTTTTAAGTAAAACATCACATTTGTTTCAAAGTATTTGCTAGGCCTAATTGATAACAGAGTTACTTCAAAGAAAAAATGTTAAAGCGAAGGTACAGTTTCCAAAATTCCAGGAAAATTTGCATTTTGAAACCGAGAGATTTCCTCTACAGTTCAATAACGAAAAAAATCATTCATAGCAACACACATATACCACGCTAAACAGCTGAGGAAATAGACTAATTAAAACACATTTTAAGCCTACCAAATGTAGCCACAGCCATTCACCAAACACATTGGTGAATCATAACAAAACATTCCCGTTTGTTGTCAGAAATAGTGATGTACTCCTGCGAGAATTGACGGACACATGTTAAGTTCAATTAGCCCTGACGGTTCCACCGTTCAATCACTTGGCAGTTTGGCGTCGCCCAACAGCACACGTAAAAATCTGCCGCAAATTTGATATTTTTGCAGTAAGCATAGTATTCACCAGCACACAATCTCAAGCAGTTTGTAGATTTAAAATGAATATTGCGATACACAAGGCAATGTGCCTGTTACCGCGTGTTTGAGTTTGATAACAAAGCTTGCATTCACACTGAACACAATGGTTAACCAATAAGAAGTCAGCTTGTTAAATTTCCTACGTGAAACCAAAAGCTTCGATATTCAGCGTCAAGTTTCAAGTTGTAGAGTATACGAATGGCAATGGTTTTGTGTTTCCTCGAACGCGCAAGCGAGGGAAAATGTCTGCAGTCTGTTTTTCTACTCTGTGTTGCCTTCTGTCAGTAGTTGTTAAGACTGAAGCAAAACACGCAACAGCAGTAGCTACGCACACTTGGTTTGGCTGCTCCCACTAATTCCTTTGCAGCGCTTACAGGCTTTTTTTAAAAAAGGCTCAACTACTTCCGTTTGACGAGTTGTCGTAAGGAAGTTGTCTTCCTCACACTGAACGCAACTCCAAATGGTGTGGCATTTCCGTGTTAAACCGCTTCATCGCATGCACTCAGAACACAAACGTGTTGTCAATTAGAACTCGAGGATATTCAAGAACCACCTTGTGAACGTCTCAAAAAGACATCAATATCAAATTTTATCAAATCGACAACGAGACATTTGTAGAACCTAGTTCGATGTCTCTAGCAGGTGGAGTTTTGCAATGCTTCCAAACACACCAAGGCCGCGCCAGCATTGTGAAGCAGGGAATTAATTTATGATTATTCAAATGTGGAAAAATTTACCCTTTCCAATTCGATGGGATTAGGCGATTCAGGGATGTCCTTGAGTTCCATTACTTCACGTCACAACCTTCGCCACAGCAAATTCTTGAACCTCTTGTCTTTTTTGACCATTGTGACACTGGTTCCAATGTGTTTTTATGTCGGTATAAAAAAAATTATTTTGCCACATATTTATTGGCTTTCAGGTCACGGACAGTTCTTTAAATTAATCGATGTCAAAATTGAATTGGTCACTACACTGCAACAACCGCGAATTTATTATTTACTGTTGGTCTACATGGCATTAAATCTCCATTCTCAGCACAATGGCGTCCTGAATGGATGATGTGATTTGATCTGAATGTTATCATCCAAAATAATTTGTACCAATTACGTGTCCAGCACTGGCACAAATATGAACTGAGGGCCACCTCCACGCGTCATAGACACGGTGGAATTTATACATGTAATGACCTGTTGCCTCCACAATCCTCCCGAACCTGCGAAGCGTGATCGGATCCGTGCAACACGGCAGTCTGGAGTTGTTCAAGAACCCGTCACGGAGCCTTCAACAGTTTAATCATGGATTGCCTTTTGATTTCTGAAGAATAGTACTCCCTCATAGTGATGTCAACAAACACACTAAAAACCCGCCAGTACTTTGTTGCCAAAAATCGATATGTGATTTTCACACATCTACAAACTTCTCGTTGTCGATTTGATAGATAGATATTGACGTTCACAAGATGGTTCAAGAATATCCATGGGTTCCATTACTTTATGTCTTACCTGTTCATTGATTCGACTCTTATTAACATGTCACAATTACGACCCTCAAATCGGCGCAGCAAATGTTTAGATCCCTTGTCTGCCTTTGTCGCCTTTGACCTTTAAAATCTCGTCATCTCCGAGTTAACATTTGGTAACATTTTGGTCAATAAAACAACGTGAGGTCTCCCACATTTGTTGACATTTATTTCATGGACAGTCCACGAAATTAAACGAGATCCAAATAGTTACCACGTCGAGTTTAGTCTTTACTATTGGCCTGTATGGAACAAATTAAATACCCATTCTCAACAGCTGTTAGGCTGCACTGTGTCATCCTAAATGGGTGACGTGATTTACCCGACATCATGTCTCTTGTCGTAGTGAGCACCAATCACGTTTCCCACAGCAACGTATTGAGTTGCTCTCACTATAGAGTTGTGTAGACATAGTCATGCTCGTCTGCGTGTTCAGCACGATGTCGACAAGGGCTCCTTTGCATGAATTACCGGAGATCTTTTATATTAACGAGGAGCTGATGAGGCGAGAATCACGCTTTGGCGTTAACGTTTAATTACTGGTTTCCCAAAATATCAAACGGCTTCTAACGCTTTACACAAGGAAATGATTAATGTTGGTGCAACAGGTAAGTGATTGGATCTGGTTACATTTGAGAGTCGAACCAAATGCTTCTAGCCTAGCATTTCACCGATTCCGTCTTCCTCAACAGAGGCCTTTCATGTTTAAGTTGGAATCTCCTGACGTGTCATCTTGTTGGGTGGATTTACCGCCTAGTTAACACTGATGTTGGAACGAATAAAAATGCGTTTGTGTCATCAAGATCCTGATATAGGTGGTTATTGGTGAAACTGAACGATAAGCTAGACTTTTTTGAAGCAATCTAATGTCCACTAGATGCATCCTCGTGCTGAATGTAAGGTGGATTCCAAGATAAATCACTACTCCCTTCTAGTATCGTTATAACAACATGAAAGTTGTGGCGTTTGAGGCACCGAAGGAAGTGTAGATGATCCGGTTACATAGAGATTCACCACGTCTGCGACAATCAGTTTGAAGGGATCAGAGTCTAATTGTTGGAACCAAATCAAAAATGATGCCAACGGGTCTCTAATTATGCAAAATCCTTGGCAGTCAACGACAATCAAAACCACCACTGACTAGACAGAATAAGTAGCCGTCAGCTGTGTTTTTGTATTGCCCTTATATTCGAAATTATTCAAAAGGGAGTTCGCGCGTCGTGCATATGCAAAAGAACGCTTTCGTGGAGAGCATCGGTTCAAAAATGGCCAGCATCGGACTTCAATGTTAACAGGAGCAAGCCGAATTTGTGGAGTAGTCATTTTCTTTGAATCATGACCCCCTTCAAGGGAATGGTTCATTGCACTACCTTCGTTCACCATGTTTACACCGTTCAAATAAACCCTACACGATGGCTCATGAACGTGACCAAAGATGGCGGCTCAAATTAGGCAGGAATGATGGAAGTTCACACACCACAAAATTCCAAAACAAATAACTCGGGATCAAGGGAGGCGCTGTGTTTCTGTAGCGGATTAACAGCGATCGCGCCTGAGTGAACCCTGGTTACCGACCTGACGGCGACAATGACTCATCCCCTTTTCATTGGTTGCCTGTTATCCGCTCACTCATCCACACACTAAGACACATTTGGCTGGCGTGACGCTAGTAGACGGTCGTGTCCTCTGTCGCCTCTTTTTCCACTCTTCTCGGGCTGTTACGGGCTGTCAGGTAGAGGGTTGTAAGGTAGTGCTTGGACCATAAGCCACTACATTTCCAGTACTGCTTATTGATTTTGATTTACACAATTCACAAGCGCTGTTCAAGATGCAACCGACTTATAACCTCATTATGCCATTATTTGTTTAAGTCCTTTACTTGAACCAATGAGGCACTTCTGAATTCAATTTGCTCGGTCCTCAGTCTAATCAAGCACTTCTCAGTTTATTCCCCATTGTTCGTCAGTAGTCAGGTAATGCGTTGGTTCCTTAAATGACGATCTTACAAAGAGCAATCAGCACAGTATCAACATCAACAGATGCGAAGAATAAAATGCCGAACATGGGAATTCTTAAACACCACTGCTTGACTTTTGCTTCAAATCCCTTCTGTCGAATTCCAACTGCACATTCTCGTGCACATTCACTGAAAAGGAGCATGTTGACTATTTTGACTTACATGATCAAAAACCCAGTTACATCGACCTAATCACGTGCAGTTCAATTTGGGAAGCAGGAACGCCACCAAGAAAGTCTTGGAAAATTTTCTCAACTTAAAATGACTGCTGGTTACAATGTTTAAACTACGTTTAATTACGGCGTAATTAAAACAGCTTCTAATCCCCATCCATTCAAATTACAACACATAAATCTTACTAAATTACACCATTCCACAAACAGGAATTAATAAAGTCGGGCTGAGTAGTTGATCGCGTTCACCTCCTTTACTCGATTCTGAAGTGCAGCAGCTCACGAGAGATGCACTGTCTATCCGTAGTCGGACAGACCGCGAACGCTAAGTGACTACAGTACCCCATCACTGCCTTAACATGTGGTCTTGAACCACGCCAGGGCCACGGAATTAACCCTGGCCCGATTACGTTTCCTTAATACCCGCGATGAAGACAGGACGTGGACACAACCGTTTACTTCAGAGCTCAACCAAAACTCTTGTCGTGTGTGGGGTTTGCGAGTGTGTATT